CCTTAAGTTCCGCTCGCGGCACTCTTCTATATCCTCTAGATATAGCTCAAGAGTTCGCCAACTACTTTTCTACGGCCTCCTCCGATTGCAACTTCCCCCCTGAATTTATTTTAAATAAGTACCAAACAACTTCATCCCGGTTTCCACCCAGCAATCTTTCGATCCCTACCCCTTCCTATCCTATCCCGCCTTCTTAACCTCTACAATAATATTTTCTCTACAGGCATTTACCCCCAAGCTTGGAAAACCAGCTTGATAGTTCCCATCCTCAAACCTGGTAAATCTCCCCTTGATCTCTGCAGTTACCGCCCAATCTCCCTTCTCCCGTGTTTACGTAAACTGCTACAAAAAATTATTGTTACCAGACTCTCCTGGTATGCCCGCAAAAATTATTTCATTCATCATAACCAARTTGCATTCAAAAGAGGGCAACACTACATTTCTAATGCTTGTCTAATAAAAATCACATCTCCCTGATGTCTCTCGATTTTCTAAAAGCATTCGATCGAATGGGTATTCATATCGTACAAAGGCAACTAACCAAATGGAAAGTGGGTCCGCGAATCTTAAATTTTATAAAATCTTTTTTATCCCATCGTAAAATAAGCATCCTTATCTCGAACACCCGCTCCTCTATCCTTCCCCTAGATAATGGCACTCCTCAAGGATCACCCTTACCAGTGATTCTCTTCATTATAGCGCTTGATGAACTTAGCGAATTACTGTCTAAATTCACCACTACTGAGCACCAACTATACGCTGACGATGTTCTGGTGTATTCCAAAAACACTGATTTATGGACATCACGCAAAAAATAAGTTGAAAATGCTGACTGCCCCTTGCCACGCTGCAATTCGAAGATCGCTGCGCGCGTTTCCAACGACTCCATTAAATAATTTATTTGCAGAATCTGGGCTAAATACAATATTCGTTGACGCCGAAGATTCAGTTCGCAAACTCTACGCTAAGGTGATGTTATGACCGAACGCTCTTCTTAGAAAGGACCTACAATTAGCGATTTCGCGCAAACGGCTACTCAAAGTGCAATCTTCCACTCCAAAGACCGACGGTTCAAAATCATCACAGACTTCATTTGCTGTCGTCAAAGAACATGAAGAAGTAATTACTTATGGTTTTTTGTTTAATTTCTGCTCGATTTTTACAGCAGAAGCCGTGGCAATATTCAAGGCGATGCTTTATTCCGTACCCCCGGGTCCCCGGTCACGGAGAGATAAAGGGGAAAACGATTGCCGATAAGGTCGCTAAAGATATGGTTGTTACACCTACCATAACTTCCAACGTTCTTTTTAAAAGGGATATCTACTGGAATATAAATAATGAGAGGCAAAACAAAATTGCTATCCGAATGGAGCCGATATAGCCATCACTACTCCTCAATCAACCCCAGTCGTACAAAACCCTGCTTCTCTCCGACCATGCCGACAAACTACATAACTCCATATACCCGTCTCCGGCTTGGCCACACGATTATTACAACCTCTCATTTGCTTCAAGGCGCTACTCCTAGTCGCTGCCCGTTCTGCAGCTTTTCACTCAGCATTAACCACCTATTGGATTGCTGCCCGAACTTGATGCCCAAAGACTACACTATTTCAATGGTATTAACCCTACACAGCTGTTAAAAAACCCGATGGACAATAATATTAGCAGGATATATAATTTCCTCAGAGATACCGACCTACTCCGACGCATTTGATACCGCCCTAGTCAACATGCCAGCCGAAAGCCTCCGACTCTAGCGCTGCGTTATCTTTAGTTTATGTAATAATTTTATTGTTATGTAAACTTTTATAAAATAAAAAAAAATTAAATAAAAATAAATAATCCTCTAGCCTTCCACAATAGGATCATTAATTTCCACTTCAATATCATACCAAATTGCTATATACAGTGGTAGACAAATCACTGCATACTTTTAAGACACCCACTGTAATTTATAAGTCCCATTATTCGTAGTGTAGA